ATAGATGAGGAGGAGTTTGTAGAGATGGACCACAGTTCATCCTACCACATCCGGCTGACCAACTCCCACCTCCGCTCATGTGATGCACAGCTGTCCATCGATGGCAAGGACGTGGGGACATGGCGTCTGGAACCCAAACAGGAGATTGAGTTGGAACGGCCTGAGGAGGAGCAGATGTGTTTCACCTTCTTCAGCACCAGGATGGCTCCAGCAGAGGCTGGCATCAGGAGGGGGTAGAGGAGAATGGTTTGGTCCAGGTCACTTTCACGCCAGAGAAGATGAGAGAAGAGAAGACCACAGTTAAAGGTGCGTAGGTTGTTCACAAGTGACAAGTACTCTGCTATGTTATTTTTATTGTAGCTCACCTAGATAGAGCTCATAATGTCAGAGAACGTACTAGAAGCTTGAGGAGAAAAATGTCAAATGACAAAAATTCATCTAACTTAATATCCTTCGTTTTCATACTGTTCATTTGGAGTATTTGTAAATTGTCATAACTTGTCATCAAATCTACTTTTCCACAGGTGTGTAAAAATATCCACTTATACAAACAAGTTGCTTTTTATATTTTGTGTAACATTATAAGGTATTGAATTTGAGTGGATTGGGTCTCATAATTTGAAAATCACAAAATTTCCATTTTTGAGACGAAAGGATGCCTGCTAGATATCAAAGAGGACTGAAAGGTGCAGATTTCCTGTCCCTCTCACCTTGTAGACCTGTATCGTGGAGGTGACCAGGGAGCTGAGGACGACACAGCCAGCAGTGACTCCTCTAGTGGGGAGGAAGATGAGCCATTCCGCAGTGACACGCCTCTGAACTGGTCGTCAGGGGCAACAGCTCTGCAGGGGATCAGCCAGCAGGAGTTTGAGCAAGTAGAGGGAGAGATTGAGAAGGATGAGGAGGCCCAAGTTATCATGATCTTACGTCTGGTAGCGAGGTACCTAAATTCCATGTTTCAGAACAAGCCCTTGCACACAGGGAATAGGCAAATAGAGTAAAAAGTCTTACCTGCCAATGTTTTAACGGCTGCACTTTCTCAGGGCTTGCAGTGACCTGAAAAAGCTTCTTCACATACATCATTCAATTTGTACAGCCTTCATTTTTGGCTCATTTCCTCACAATTGGTTGCTTGACTAAAGAATTGGATTTCCTTGCAGGGACAATATGATTTAGCTCACAAGAGTTTCAGCAATGTTACTCATAACATTGTCTATATTTATCAGTAGTGCAATAGGCTGTAACTAAATAAAAACATTGAGATGTGTTGTGATGTGTGGTTTCAGAATTGATGGTCCTAAGGTAGAGGTCTCCAGTGCTCCAATCAAACCGCTGACATCGAAGCGTCCAAGAGCAATCCAAGACTAGCAGAAACCCGCCTGGGGAAAGAACTACGTACAACCGAAGAGTGAGCTGAAGTTTCAACTCTGTAACTTCTGAAAGGACATTGATCAGTTTTTGGAGCTGACTGGAAAAACCTGACACATTTGAACTTTTTGAATTTTTTTGAATAAGTCATTAATGTTATATTGCTTGTCTTCCTAGAAATTTGAACTTTTATTTTGAATATGCTGGTCCGAGCTTGTATGTCCATTTGTCGTTGCTGTTTACAGCTACCATTGTCCATAATTTTATTCCCAGTAGCCTTTTAGACACTATTATTGTTCCCATCGTAAAAAACAAATCTGGTAACATCTCTTGTACTGACAATTATAGACCAATTGCGATCACTTCGGCATTATCGAAAGTCCTAGAGGCACTCCTGCTTAATCGTCTGAAGCCTTTTCTTCTGACGTCTGATTCTCAATTTGGCTTTAAACCTAAACATGGGACTGACATGTGTGTTTTTATGTTAAAGCAAATTATCGAGTACTACAGGGGCTTAGGGTCCCCTGTCTTTGTGTGCTTTATGGATGCCTCTAAGGCCTTTGATCGCGTAAACCACTGGACACTGTTTAGAAAGTTGATCGACAGAAATGTTCCGCTATATCTAGTTCGATTCTTGGTTTCCTGGTATACGAATCA